CCCCCTGAGGGTCCTTGGCCCCCAGCCAGCCCAGCCCAGCCCAGCCCAGCCCAGCCCAGCCCAGCCCAGCCGGCTCTAACTGCCTCCATCACCTGGGAGGATGCCAGGCTCAGGGCCTCCAGGTTGCTGGGAACTAACTGAGGACCTGCCCTCGCTGGTTGTGGTTCCAGGCCCTGCCAGCAGAGGGCGCGCAAAGCCCTGCTTACTGCCCAGCTGCAGGGTTGCTGCCTAATGTGGAGGGGACAGGTGAGCTGGGATGGGCGTGGCTCCTGTGCGTGTCACTCTATGGCCACAAGCCCATGTGTCTCCTGCCCCTGTAGTTGGACAATGAGGCTCTCGGCCTGGTATCAGGGCCCCCCCCAGCCCTCCCTTAACCAACACTCTGCCCCTTGGTTAGGTGGGCCACTCACTGCCTCCCACTGCCAAGCCTTTGCCCGCTGGTCCTGCCGCCTGGACCGTGCTTCCTTCTGTTATATATTCCTAGTCACCCCCACCCCCACCCTCTGGGCCTGAGCTCCATCACTGCCCAAGAGGGCTCTCCACTCAGCTCAGAAGCCCTGGGGGGGATTAAAGGGGGTGGGTTGGTAGGTGAGGTGTGGGACGAGTAGAACTCCAAGGCCCCTCACCTCAGCTCCCTGGGGCCCCCTCACACCCAGGTCCCGTCCCACCATGTATACCTGCTGCCTCCACTAAGGGGGAGGGGCCTATGGGCGTAAGAGGAAGATCCCCCCATACCTTCTGCACGGGAGGGCACCTGGGGCCAGGGGGGGCTCGCCCCTGGGGGGGCTGCTGTCGGTGGCCTGTTCCACTCTTGGGGAAAAGAAGAGGAGAAAGGAAGTCATGCAGGGGCTGGGGCTGGGGTGTCCTGGGGACACGCTGAGGCGTCGCACTCCACAGGCCCTGGTCAGAAGCAGCCCTATAAGCGGCTCTGCCTACACGGGCCACAGAGAGCTGGGCCCGAATCTACGGGAGAGGCAGCGTCTACGGTACAGCAGCTCAGCGGGCCGCGGACTGGAAGCCGCGTGGGAGGGCCTCCTGCCCGAGTCTGCATGCTCTGGGGAGTCCTTTCTCAGCGGGCCCCCTGGTTTGGGGACTCCTCTACCCTCCCTGGGCGGTCCCGTTCCCACGGACGGGCGGTCGGATGGAGTCCGTATCTGGGCGCAGAGCGCTCTGTGCCGAGTCTCAGGCTAATGACTGTACGGGGCGGCATCAGCCGTGCCCAGCAGGTCCGACCCCACGCAGGGACGCGTCCTCCCGTGTCGGGCCTGCCTCCCGGCCACCACCTCTCCCTCCACCCCCTGGTCCGGGCCCATGTCCACCAGGGACCCCGATGTCAGTGACCCCCAAATGCCACAGCACTGCCTCCAAGACCATCGGGGCGCAGCAATGAGCGGAGTCGGGCATCGCTCTGCGCTGAGTCTCACAGGACAGGCCCTGAGGGACCAGGAGAAATCGGATTCTTTCTGCTTCTAAAGGGATTTCTCGGATGCTGGTCGGTGGGGAGAGAGAGAGAAAATCTAGCGGCTAAGAAGTGCGGAGCCTTTCCCGCCCGGAGCCTTCAGATGTCAAATTGACATCACTAGGCGCTCAGTGAGGGGTGGGCCCGGGCCCACCGGCCAGGCTTAATTAGAGCCTCGCTAGCGCCTGCCCGAGGCTCCAGGCTCTTCCCACACCCTCCTGGGCGAGGACTGCGGTGGGAGCGGCCTTGTCCGCCAGGAGCCCTTGCCTGGGGACAGCTTGCCCGGAGGAGGGAGAAACCTCTGGGCCAGCGGTCACGGGCCCAGCTGGACTCTGGCCAAAGAGCCTGAGCCCGTGGGGAGGCACCGGAGACTCGGGACCTTTCTGGGACGGGGTCTGGGACGGGGTCTGGGGACGGGAGAGGCCCCGCTGGGCTCTTGGAGACAGGCTCAGGTGTGCGAGGAATGGCCTTGCAGGGGCCTGTGTCCGGTGCCAAGAGCAGATGGAGGCCCGTCTGTTCCTGCGGAATCGGGGGGCTGTGCAAGCCAGGGCCTAGGACGCACCACCTCAGCCCCAGGCCGCAGGGCCATGGCTGGGCGGCTCAGTGGGCAGGGAGCGCCCGTCAGTGAGCCCCGAGTGCGAGTCCTGCCCAGTGCCTGGCCGTCCGTGAGCAGCTGCTCCTTCATTTCCCCGGTTTCCTTCCAAACCACTTTCCTGAGGTGCAGGGACCACGACCCCAGCTGCCTCTTCCTGAGCCCTGACCCTCGCCAGTGGGATATGGGAGACAGCGCCCTGCTCAGAGCTGTGGGCCGGGACCCAGGCTCTGCCCACTGCCGCGGCTGTCAATCTTAGTGGGGCTCCAGGCACGGGGGGAGCGGGGAGCAGGCAGGGGCTTCCGTTGCTAAAGAGGCGTGAAGACCCCAAAAGGTGGGCACCTCAGGTCACTGGCTGTCACCCTGGAGCAGCCTCCTCCCCTAACGCCCTCCTGCCGGGCGCTGGGCTCAGGACGCAAAGCTGCCACGCCTCCCTGGACAGTCCTTCTTGGGGCTCAAGCCTGACTTGACTTGCTCGCTGCCAGGCCTCGGACCCTCTCCTAATTCCCAGCTTTGCACTGTGCCCTGCGCCCCTTACACCCAGTCAGCAGCGGCTCAGCCAGTGGAGTCAAGGTTCCTCGTGCGTGGGGGTGCACGTGTGTGGGGGTGCACGCGACTGCTTCCCACCCACACAGACCACCGCGTACAGGAAGACACGGCACCACCTCGGCGGTTTGTGTGCCCAGTGCATGGGGGGCAGCAGTGATCGGGCCGCCCTCATGGCCACAGGGGACCCAGGGGCTTGGGGCCAGGGTCTTCCTGGGACCTGTTGATGCGGCTGAGAGAGAGAAGCGAGCGAGGGTGGGAGCTGGCAGGTGGGGGCAACGCAGAGAAGCAACATGGGACCCCATGAGTGGACCTGGGCCCCCCCAGGCCCAGCCTCCTCTGGTGCTCTCTCGGCCCCTGGGGTCCAGAGAGGTGGAGGGAGGCAGCGCCTCCAGAAGCACTTCTGAGGTTTGGGATCTCCCACCGCTGGCTGCTTGACGCTGGTGGTGCTCCGAGCAGCCGGCACACCTGCCAGGGGCAAGGCCGCCCCAGGGCTGACTACTCTGGGGCCTGAGTTGAGCTGGCCGTCTTAGGACCCGGCTTCCCCCCCAACCCCCAACCCCCGCCCCA